TGTTTCCTAAAGACTTTTTTAAATCAAACATTAAATTTGCATGTGTTCCTAAAGTTGATTTACCATGTAAATGTAATATTTTATCAATTTTTATATGCGTGTTTCAATCAAATGACATTCTTATATACGACGTTTTGGATTAGGTAATAGAATTTTACAAGTTTTGAAAGACAATTCTTATACACGGCTAGGGGTGTTCATCGGTCGGTTACGAAAACTGAATTAACCGAATTGTTAAATTTTAGAAACCATACCGACCGAATTAAGTGCCCAAAACCGAAGTTTAACCGAACTGGTCGGTTAACCGAATTTTTACACAAAAAAAAACATTTTTTTATAAATGTTATAAATTTTTATATTAATATTATATTATGAATTTATATATTATATTATAATTTATATATTAATATTATATTATAAATTTATAATATATAATATGATATTATATATATATATATTATTCGGTCGGTTCGGTTATTTTGGACATTTTGTGTCCGAAAACCGACACCGACCGAAATAATCGAAAAGTTACAAACTGAAAACCGACTACCGACAGAGTCAGACAAAAATCGAACACCCAGAGACGAGGAAGGGCGTAGTAATCGACGAGTCAGTTTCGGTCGGTTCGGTCGATTTCAGTCGAATTTTGCACACCCCTATACACGGCAAAAAAAAGTAATAGAATTTTGCAAGTTTTGAAAGACGAATCTTATACACCGCGAAAAAATGTTTTTTTAAGCAACCATTAAAATATTTTGTTGTTTAATTAATTTCATTGAGTTTCCACCAACACGAAATAAAAAGATATATTTAAAGTGATATTTGGTGTCTTGAAATTGCGTGTTCCCTAAAGATTAGGTAACAATATATGGCCCTTGTTATTATCAATTTGTAGTCTCATAGTATGACTTGTGATATTAGATGTTGAAATTGCACGTCCCCTACAGATTTTTTTGAAGCAAACATTAAATTGCATGTTACCTAAAGTTGATTTACCATGTATATGTAATGTTTCATCAATTTTTATATTGCATGTTTTGATCAAATCACATTCTTTTACACGACGCTTTGGATTAGGTAAAAGAATTTTGCAAGTTTTAAAAGACAAATATTATACACGGCGAAAAATATTTTTTGAAGTACATTAAAATATTTTGTTATTTAATTTTATTTTTAGTAATTTTTGATTTCTCATCAATTATAATTGTTAGTAATGACAAAAATTAGATTTTAAATCCATTAATTTTTTTTTTTTTATCAATTACTAATTAGGATGATTTTTTTATAAGCAGTTGTTTTAAAACCAAAAGTTTTTTTTTTTTTTAAAGAGATCGATAAATCTCGAATATATGTGGATCTCAATTTTAAAATATTTTGTACACAACTTATATGGAGATAACAATATCTGCCATAATTAAAGCGTGTGAATTGTTTTTGAAATTTAATTGGTAAATTTGGATAAGTGTAAATTTAAATTTCAAAGGTGAATGCGATCAGTATTTCCAACCAAAGATTCAATTATTATAATGAAAATTTTTTTTAATAGATATTTTTAATTTATAAATACCCGTCCACCATATGGATTCATACTATCCTCCCTATATATTATTCTCGAATCCGCTGAGCCTACGTGACTGTTTTTGGTGCTTCGAAATCCTATTTGGCGAAGAATTTGTAATTAGGTTTGGACAAATAATATTGATATATTAATAATTAATAATCTAGGTTCGGACATTCCATAAATATTATTTAGCTAAGTATTTTAATATCACTTTTACTAATATAACATTTTATATCTTTGTAAGTTTATATAGTGAGACACTAATTTACTAATATATTTCTGACTTTTTGATTTGTTTTTTTCAATTAGCTATTGAATTGTAAATGTATTTTACAAGTTCATAACTTTTGTATTTCTTATCGGTTTTACATATATAATATATCAAATTAATCATCTTTTGATGATCTTCGATTTGACATCCATATTGTATATATGAAATAAATAAATTATATTTATCTTTATAATAATAATAAATATTAATATTTATTAAAATTCATTAGAAAAATAAAATTATTTCTCAATTGATATATTTATGTTTAATGTAGTTATATGTCGTAAGTTAAATAAATTATTATAATATAACAAATGTAAGTCTCACAAATAAATAGTGTCATAGTAAATATATAATAATATATACCTTTTTATGAAAGGTATTGAAATTTTAAATTACTTTTGCTCATTAATTTTAGATTTTAAGAAAAAATGAGCAAGCACTCGTGTAATACACGTGTGTTGTACTAGTTTGTACTATATATATAAACTAGTACAACACCCGTATGTTACACGAGAGCTTGTTAAAATATTATTCTTAAATTTTAAAATTAATGAGAAAAATTATTTTAAATTTTATTTAATTTTTTACAAAAAATATATATTATTATATATTTTAGACGAATGACACTTGTTACTTGTGTGACTTATATGTGTTATATGTTAACTGATAAATAATTTTATTTTGTAATTAATATTAAAAAAAATATTATTATTGTTTTAAATATAAATATAATTTATTTTTTATACATAAAATATGAATATTAAATCGAAACTCATCAAAAGATGATTAATTTCATTTATTATATATATGTAAAACTGATAAAAAATATAAAAGTTATTATATTTTAAAATACATTTACAATTCAATGATTATAATAATAAATGACATTAAAATAAATTTAATACATGTAACATGATCATAAATAATCAATTTATTTACGGATAAACCCGGACCTAATTATTTTTGAATTGGAAGTAAATTAAAATCCACCAAAGCCTAAAAACAACGCATGTTATATTGCTACATAAAATCAAGAATGCGAGTCTGTCACGAGAAAATGGCAGATCTGCCATTATGAAACTCGGGCTTCGCAACTTTGCCATCCCGCAAATGGGCTTCGCAAATTGGCCATTATCAAACGATTCTCACACTCAATTTTGCCCTGAGATCGATTTCTTGTACCCAGCCCTATTTTCATTCCTGTTTTACCCCTCACCCTATCCATTGAGCCCAAGTCCTCCCCCCGTGATCCCGTTCTCACCGAAAAGCACCGCTCCCATTCATCCTCCTCCTCCAACAGGCCGCCGGCGCCGGCGCTAGTTCGCCCACCAGTCGCGTCCGCGCTAAGCCCCGCTCCCCACGCCGCGTCCGCGCCAAGCCTGAGCCGAAGCCTGCAGAGCCTATTCATGAGCTGAAGCCTGAGCCGAAGAAAATTGTGATCGACTATTCTGTTTTCATGTGTATCGTTGGTGTCCTGATTGGTATTGTGTTTGCTTGTATGTGGAAGTGAACCATGTGCTTGAAGTACTTGTTAGTGCAACCATGTGTTAGCAAGTGATGTGTTATGTAACCATGTGTTAGCTAGTGATGTGTTCTGTAACCTTGTGTTGTAGTGCAACTGAACCATCTTATGTAATGACTACTAAGTACTATGTAATGAAGGATGATGCTTTCCTGGAATTATGTGTTCTTTTTTCACTTGTTTCATGCAAATTATGTGAGCTGTTATTGACAGATTATTGTTTGATTTTTTTAAAAAAATTGACAGAGTTTTGCTTGAACTTGGAAAGAATTTGTACACAACAATATAACACAACCAGATAGGTAACAATATATAAGACAAAAAATGTCCAAATCCACACAACAAATAGGTAGCAATACAACAGATAAATGAGGTCCAGAGTCACACAATACATGTCCAGATTACTTAAATAAGGTCCAGATACATGTCGAGATGACAGATAACTAAGATACACAATGCAGTTCACTTGGTCTTCATTTTCCTTGGCTTCAGTTTTTTTGTTGGACTCTTTTTATGCACCATGTTGTCGGGTGAGACTTCACCTAGCAGGGTTTGGAGTTGGCTGCAACAAAAGTGGCACTATAAGTCATTTGTTGATCTTGTATGAGTTTAAATGAAAGAGAAATAAAGTGTTCCATACCCTCTTGTGAGCCTTGTGGGGCTGTTTTCTATGATCTGCTCCCTTGTGAGCCTTGTGGGGCTGGAGAGTGCATTTAGGGCTTGTGCAGGCATTGCTTGTTGAATGAAAAAATTTGGGGTTGTTGCATCCATTGCTTGTTCATTGAGAAAATTTGGGGTTGGTGGTTCAGTAGCAGTAGCAGCCATTTCCTGAGATGTCTCTCCCTTCTTTGCTCTCTTTGTTGGGATCTTTGCATTGGCACCATACTTTGTTGTATTTTTCCTAGGCTTCCTTGGCCTTTTTTTAGTGCCATTAAGATGACATTTGTAGCTTGTTTCACTATGACCCAATTCTCCACAGCCATTGCACTTTCTTTTGCCTCTAATCATTTGTTTCTTGCCCTTTTCTGTCTCATCAGCAGCTTGTTTGTTTGCCTCATTTGCTTTTTCCTTGGCTGCTTTCTTTCCCTTGCTGTTACCACCTTCGAGGAAGCCTTTGATCCTCAGTTTTCTGTACCTACCAGCAGCCTTCTTGTCAAGGGGAGCCTTTACCCCAAAAGGCAACTCAACATCTGGCCACTGTGATTTATCAGGTAGTGGCTCTATAAGTCTCTTATAAGCTGCCTGGAACCTCTTGACAGAGTAATACTCATGCACAAAATTCTCCATGGGTACATTAACAATCTGTGCACTTATAATCAAAGCCAAAGCATGCTGGCAAGGCTTACCAGTATGCTGCCACTCAAGACATGTGCACTCATGCAGATGAGCCTTAACAACATGTCTAGTGTGAGTGTTTGAGGTGTCCCAGATTTCTGCTGAATCACTACCACCATCTACAACAGTCAAGTGCCCAAGTCCTCTAGTTCTAGCATTCAACTGCTGCACAACTGTTGGGAGGATCTTCCCACTAAGTGCCTGTGAAATTTTTCTCCTTTTTGCCCACAACACCATAATCTTCTCTCTGAGTTTGTCTGCAAGCTCGACAACAGGCAGGTCTTTCCAGTCTTTGATCCAATTGTTAAACACTTCAGCAAGGTTATTAGTGATATAATCACATTTAATCTCAGGATTGAAGGCAGATCTCATCCACAGCTTGTAATGGTGAGCCTCCATCCAAACCAACACTTCAGGACAAGCATCAATGATTAACTTGTAAAAATATTGGAAAACTGATTCTCTATAAGTTCTGGCTGCAGGATACATCTTTGAGAATACATCACCACCAAACCTTTTAATAAAATTGTTCATCAGATGTCTAAAGCATTCCCTATGTTCAGCATGTGGGAACACATTCTTAACTGCATTTTCTAGACCTTTGCATGCATCTGATGAAATAGCCAAAACAGGAAGATCTCCTATGGCCTTATGCAACTGAGTCATAAACCAAGTCCAGTTGTCTGTGGTCTCACCATCAATGAAGCCAAAAGCAACTGGGTACATCCAGTTGTGACCGTCTAAACCACAAGCTGCTGCTAAATGGCCATTCCATCTACCATTAAGTTCAGTAGAATCTATGCTAAGGTATGGTCTGCATCCTTCTAAAAAACCTTCAATGCAAGGTTTTAATGCACAGAAAAATCTATGAAAATAGAACAAGCCTTCTACCTCCACAATGTCAATCTCAATAACACTGCCTGGACACCTTTTCAGGACCTCTGCTTTCCAATTGAATAGGAGCTGAAAGCTTCCTTCCCAATCTCCATGCAGTTGTCTCAAAGCAACATGCCTTCCTCTCTGTACAGTGTCATAAACAATCTTACATTCATGCTCCTGCTCTAAAACCTCTTGGAGTTCCTTAGTACCCATAATTATTTTCCTCCTAAGGTGATGTATTGCCTTTGAAGCAACCCAAGCAGTAGTTGGTGTGGTAGTCTTCCTCTTATCACTAGATGCACATTTATGCTCATCAACAAGCACTGTCACCTGCAAATAAAAAAAAAATAGTCAAAGCAAACAATATAGAGTTAGTACCAAAATAGTAAAAAAAAAAATTAGACAATAAACACTGCGTTCTTGAAATAAAAAATTGAAAACCAAAATGCAAGTTAGTACCATAACAGTGCACCCATCAGGCTGTCGACGCCCAACAATATGCCAAGGACAACCCATTGCTTTGCAACCGCCAATGTATCTACTTGGATCTGTTTTGGCAATGTGTAGTTCAAACTTTTTATTTATAGCAAATTGTATCATAGCCAATCTGAACTCCTTCATGTTAGGATAAACTGTGCCAAGATCCATCCTAGGACGATTTGGATCATGCACCACGATCCTCTCCCCTGGTAAATAGTCATCAACTTCAATGGCTGCCTCAGTTGTATCAATTTCCTCATTACTCCGAGGAGTAGCATTGTTCTCAGCCTCACTTGCCTTCTCAGCATCCTCCCTTGCCTTCTCAGCCTCCTCATCCTGAGCCCTAAAGCCCAACATTTCATACATCACCTCATCATCGACGATCTCAATCCTTCCCTCATCATCTCGATTTTCCTCGATGCGTAGTGTATCCCAATCAATAAGACTTCTCTGCATATGCTGTGCAGGTAGTTCTACAAGCGCTAAGCTAAGCTCAGGCTCCCCATCGAGCCTAGTATACAAAAATGAGGTGGCACAGTTAGAATACCTGCACATCTACGCTCTTCGAGTCTAATCTACACGATTGCTCATAGTTAGATTAACACAAGAGCAACAATACGTACCCTTGGCTCAGATCTTGCAAGTTCTCCACCATTGAGCAGCGCGGTCGGCCGGAGATGTTGGGGGCAGACGGTGTCGGTACTGAGTGTCGGCAGCCTGGCGCGGACGGCTGGAGTCACTGGGGGCGGAGGGGCGCTAGGGGCGGCGCAGCCTGGAGCGTCGACGGCCTGGACGCAGC